TTAATTGATGATATTTGGAGTGAGTAATCAAAGACATATTTTTGGTCATAGTCTTGACAAATCATGAATATAATGCCTTTCATATGTTTTTAGGAGAATTGAAAGCAAATCTACTTTATCATTTATCTATCTACTGATGGTAACATTGCAAAAATCCTATATTTAGAGTGGAAGATGCAGAAATAACAAAGGTTACCATAGGTCACAAAGCTCAATGAGGGGTAGAATAATTTAAAAGATTTTGCTCCAACTTGTTCTTCAACATACTTGTGTAGAAAACATGAAACAGTCTGGTATAATCGTGTGCAGCTTCATAGTCATTAGCATTTTGTTTATTTGTTTTTATACTATAATGTTAATTGAATGAAATCTATTTTTTGGCATGATGGTTGATTTCAGGCACAATTATATAGTTAGGGTTTTTTTCTCATCAGTATAAATATCTTCATATAGACAGGGAAGTGATTGACAAAAAGGACTGGCAAGTATTTGTGTGCTCAAAGCTCTTCTGGAGAAGACTTTAGGGAGACATGATAACTGTCTTCAAATATTTGAAGGGTTACCTCATGGAAGAGGGATCATGCTTGTTTTGCTCAGTCCTAGAGGACAGAGCTAGAAAAGCAAAGGGTGGAAGTTGCCAAGTGACAAAATTTGGGCTTGATGTAAGGAATTGCTCAGGAATATAGTAGCTGGCCCCCATACCACCACCACTTGGGGGCATCAAGCAAAGACTAAATTGACTCCTTGAAAGGTGATATCATAGTGGAGATCCTTTTGCAAGTTTGGATTGGATTGGACAGGCTCTGAGGGACTATCAATTCTGAACTCCAAACCTGGGAAGTCATAACTTTTTTTTTTAATGAAAGGAAATTTTGGCGTGATTCATAAGGTCAGTTTTTCTTTTGCTGCCTATCCATATTGCTTTACATAGAACATTAAGTAAAAGGAAAAAAAAAAAGAATGATTCCTTTCTGTGATTGAGAATTCGCTTTCATGACTTCTTTCTTGGTCTCAACCCAGCCATGGTCATCTTCTGAGCTGTATGTTTTGACTTAGATTCGCCTATTGCCTATTAGAGTTCAGGGAAAAGATGATATACCTATTTATTATGTAAGCCCAAGAAAATGTGCTACCACAGATTTAAAATGATTTAGTAGAAAGAGTACTGAACCTGAAGTCAGGAGAGAGCTGGCTGGAATCACACTTCTGCCTATGGACCATAGTCAAACCATTTAATCTCTATGCCTTAGTTTCCTTATCTGTAAAATGTCAGTAAAAATAGCTATGATGCCAAGTATATAGGGTTGGTATGAAGATCGACTGTGGCAGTTTGTGTAAATAGCTTTTCATACTTTAAAACTCTATGCATATTTCAGCTATGATTATTCTTATTTCCCTTATTTGTGAGCCAAAACCAGAATGTGATGATTTTAAAATTCATCCATGCTAAATATAATTTTATATGGTATAAAAGGTACTTATTTTTATAGTATTTAATGGAAAACACTTTTTAGACTATTTATCACACATGAGTATAAAAGGGAAAATGATGTGAACATCCAATTATTTTGGTAGAGTTAAATATAGAAATAAAAATATTTTCAACTACCATTTAACTACAACCAGTTGTGAAAAATGTAAGAACAATTTATTAGTTCATAGGCGTATATCTACTGACCCAAAATGTGAATCATAAAGTTTCTTTTCTAATGTAAGCATTAGTCCACACATATAAAAATTATGGTTTTTAATCGGTGCCTTGTGTTTGACTTGCCACATCGATTGAGCAGAAACCAACCACTGTTAGTTTATTTTTTTTCCTCAGGCAACCAGGTGTTGAACAAACTTGACTGCCATTGCAGTACGCCGGTTTTCCTCTTCATAATCCTTCCTCAAAGTCTTGTGTTTATTATCTACAAAAATGACTTTGCTTCTCCCTTCAATAAATTAGATGTTGTTGAACTCTAATTGAACCCCCAATTTTTAATTATTTTTTTAAAAGATAAATTTATTCAGAGGTCTTTAGACTTTTAGAAGATCAACCCTGTTTTAAATTGTGGATTCCTTGTAATAGAATTTGATAGATTCAACTAGGTTCTAATTTTTAGATGTTTTAATTGGGTGAGGCCATCTCAGGCAAAAGAATTAGATACTGTAGTTTAGAGTTAGCAACTATGGCAGCTACTATGTTTATTACTTTTTTACAGATAAGAAAAATGAGGCTGGGAGTATTAAGTAACTTTCCTTGGTGATTAAATAACTTTCACATAGGAAGTAACTATCTGAGGCAGGATTTGAACTCAGTTCTTCCTGACACCAAGTCCAGTGCTCTGTTTGTCACTCTAATCAGTTATTTCTGGAGCATGAAGCAGTGAAATCCTTCAGTTGGGGGGGGGGCAGAGAGGACCCGAGACACTGGTTCAAAGAAGGGGAAGAAAAGTTAGGGATGTGTAGTGATTGAGGAACTTAGCCAGGCAAACCATCTATGAGCTGAGGCTTCTTTTCCTGAATCTTCTGGTTTTGCTCCCCACCAGTGTAGTCCAGACCTCTTTTTCATCTTTCTCATGGGGCCATCCCCTGAGGCCAGGATGGGAAGGATAACAGGGGACCTAGGATCAATCTGCTCAAGCTTAGCGCTTGGGAATGAGTAAATCCCACCCTTTCTTCCCACTCAGGTACCTAGTATGTCTCATATGGGGTTTAAAGACTAGGGATCATCTGCTATTCACATCTCCAAATCTCATCTTCAAGCCATGAAACTGATGGATGTCTACCAGGGTATTAGGGCCAAGGTAGCCTAGAAGAAGAGGAGACGACTTCACTAGGCCCTAGCGGAGAGGTGGTAATGTCTTGTGGCAGGGTCAGATTTGTGGAAGATGAACAATCAGTGTTGGCAGGCTTTTTCTTCTGCCATCACTTCTGGACCCTTTACTGATACTCCCAATAAAGGAAGCATGGGACAGAGGAAGAGGCACTGGATTTGAAGTTAGGAAGACCCGGTTGAAATCATACATTTACTAAATATTTGGTCAAATCTGTTAACCTCTCTGTCCTTTACTTTCCTTAGATGTAAAATTAAGGAGTTGGATATGATAGCTTGCAGGGGTCATTTTAGCTCTAAATCTATAATCCTATGATCCTCTATGCTCTCAAGGAAAGGGAGGATTTGGTACAAACCCACTAAACACTTGGGGCAAGGCCCTCAATGTCTCATGGTAGTTGTGGCTTCTCAGTTAGACAGAGTTGCAGCTACTACACCACAAGAGCTGCCGTCTTGTTTCCCAGTTTGAGTATTTCGCTTCCCACATATAGCCTGAAATAGACTCCCCACCCCCTCAACCCTCTACTAGTGTGTAGCTGGAAGGGCAGCTTCAACCTGAGAGGAGAGGGGAGATTGTTCTCTGGGTCAGCAGAGAGGGAAGCAGGAAGGGCTCTAGGCAGTGAGGAGGTGTACTGCCAGAACCATTCTGGCTACAAGAAAGGCCGTTTCACCCCATGTTCAATGTCCCATAATACTTTGATAATCTCAGAAATCTCTGGGTAACATTTACTATTTGAAATATGCTTGCAAAATCATTCGGTTGTAATTCCTGAACTTTGTGAAATGGGTTAGATAAATAACTGGAAGTCAGTAAACATCATGATAAGAACTACAATTATTTTTTCCCCCTGCCCAAAATCTATTTTTTAATTTTTTAAAATTTATTAATTTATTTTGATTTATCAACAATCACCTCCATATGCTTTCGAGTTGAAAATTTTTCTCCCCCTTCCTCCCACCACCCTCCCCAAGATGGCGCACAGTCTGACATAGGCTCCATACTTACATTCCTATCAAACATATTTTCACATTAGTGAAGCTGTAAGCAAAAATTAAAACCAATAGGAGGAACCATCAGAAAGACAAAACAAAACTCAACAGAAGGTAAAAATAAGTGATAGCAATCTGACTTCCATAGTTCTTTCTTTAGATGTGGACAGCATTTTCCATCCCGAGGCCTCTGGAGGTGTCTTAGATCCTTGTAATGCTGAGAAGGGTTCAGTTTAACAATATTAGTCATTGCATAATGTGGCTATTATTGTGTACAAAGTCCACTTGGTTCTGCTCACTTCACTCAGCATCAGACCATATAAGTCTTTCCAGTTTTTTCTGAAGTCAGCCTGTTCATCATTTCTTATAGCGCAATAGTATTCCATTACATTAAGAACTACAATTATGATCTTGACTCAGTCTCACTCCATCCCTCAAAAGGCAGAGTAGGTGTTAAAGTTGTAAATACATGGAGAGATTCCCACACCTGTCCCTTCTCTCAGCACTGGAATGCTCCTACACAGGTGGTATGCTTTTAGTCCATAAGGAATGGTTCATGGATAAGTGGTTCTGCCAGATGTGAACCCATTGCTTCTGAATTCACTGGTAGAACTTGTTGATGTCCAAATTTTCTCTTTGATAGCTTCTGGTTGTTGGGCGTTTAACTTTCTTAGAGTAAGTCATCTGTGTATGGATAATATTTTCTTTCCATGTGTGTTTTCCTGGTGTTGCCCTATTTTAAAAGAGAATAAGATAGCCATTTAATTTAGCTCTAGAAAATAGTCTTACTTGTGATTGTTTTCTAACAAGAGAAGGTAGAGTTGATTGTTGTGTATTTTTAGTTTAGGTTATGTAATGTCTGACTTCAAATTTTATTTTTAAAAGAATTAATCATGCTAGTGAAACATAGATTGGTCCATTGAAAATGTTATTTATTCATAGTTGCCATGATCTAGAAGCTGTTATTATCAAACTAGAACTGAACTTGTTTTTCTTCTGGCTGACACAAAAGGAAAACTATTGAAGACCAAGACCAACATATGTTCAATGGTAACTAGACTTGATCTGAAATTATTTGGTTTTGAATTCTTTCTTTTCTTTTTTTTGTGATCAATGCTAGCCATGTTCACTGTAGTGCACTGCCATCTCTTCTATGTAAGTATTGTGAAAAACTCTTTGTTTTTTTCAGGTCGAATGAGTGATTTGAGTATAATTGGTCATCCAATAGATTCAAACTCAAAAGAAGATGAACCTTGCAGTGAAGAAACTGATGATCAGTCTGACTTTCTTACACTTTTACCTGAAATCATTGAACTAGAACCCTATTTTGTAGACGAAGAAGATGATGACTGTGACAATTCTACTGAGGTGACAACAACTGAGGTGACCACGACCCCATCTGTGAAGTATATAAATGGAAAACATCTTGTCACTACTGTTCCCAAAGACCCAGAAACTGCAGAAGCCAGGAGGGGACAGTTTGAAAGCGTTGCACCCTCTCCAAATTTTTCTCATGGCAGTGAAACTAACCATTTTGAATTGTCTGAAATGGAGTCTTCTACTGTATTGCAACCAAGTGAATCCAAAGAAACTCTTGAGTCTTTTGAAATTACATGGAAGCCAGACACATATCCTGAAACCCCAGAACCTTTTTCAGGTGGTGAGTCAGATGTTTTTCCTACTGACCCACAGAGTGGGGCAACTGCTTTACGTAGGAGAGGGTCATTGGAAGTGACTGAGTCAGTGTTGCAGAATGGTCTTGAACTTCTCAACCATTCACATGAAAACAATGAAACAACACCTTCATTTCCTGAAGAGTCTTCAGGGGATGCTCTTGTTCACCAGGAGATTCAGGGAGCAGACTTTGCAGGGACTACAGAAGTGGCTTTAAAAGAAGTGGTTGAACATGATTCTATGGTCACATCTGCTCCAATGACTGTTCCTGATTCAGTACCAGTAGACATCTTACCAGAAGAGAGATCATCTGTTCTTACAGGACATCAGCAGGCTGACCCAATCTCCACAGCAGAAAGCTGGGAAGACACAAGCTCTGGGTACACTGTTGAGTTTTTAGGAAATCGTCCTTTTGGTTCCATTCCAGAAGGTTCTGGATTTGTAGAAGAAGATAGTAATAAAACTTCCACAGTGGTCAGCCTATTACAGCATACACCCACAGCTGAGATGCCATTAAAAAGTGTTCCCTTAGATGCCAGTAAGGCCATTCCCACAGAAAGTATTTTTGGTGTTTCTACAAGTGCCAATTATCCAGTTTGGGAAGAAAGTTCTGTAGAAATACTGACTACCAAATTTGAAAGTCAAACTCAGGTTCCCAAATCAACATCAGCATCGTCAACAAACAGCATTAGCACATCTGCTGATGACAAGAATCTAGATGGTGAAAGGGAGAGCACAATTGTTCTGGCTACATCTGCGGAAGAATCATCCACACAGCCCACAGGGGAGCAGTTAATTTTCACTTCTGAATCAAGCAATCCTGATGAATCTAAGTCTACAAATCCTGATTCTACTACCATTGAAAACAGATCCACAGAGTTCGAGAGGGATGTAGTTAAATCTGACCCTATGCCCACAGAATCCCTGTTCTCAAAGAAGTCTGAGGAAGAATATAAAGATAAGAGTAGCACCATTCAAAACAAAGTTCCAGAAAGTTCTACTCCCGTGGGAGTTAGCTCTGGTGCCTTCTTTCTTGAGGAAGGTTCTGGAGAAATTGGTTCTGCCATGGAACCTACAACTGAACCTTTATTTTCATTAATTTTGAAGGTGACAAAAGGTAATGAAGTACAAACTGAATATGAAGCAAAGGCAATGCCTGGCACTCTACCATCCCATGTAGCACATGCTGTGACTTTTGAGCCAACGGATTCATTTCCAAATTCTGTCACAGATGTATCAGATGTTGGAACTGTAAGTCAAGTGGCCAGGGGAAATTTAAGCACAGAGAAGTCACAAGAACCAAATTTTGGCACAGAAGTAAGTGACATCCCCACAGACTTTCCTTTAAAAGAAGTTGTGACTCCTGAATCTAGAAACTATTCAATGGCAACTCATCTTATAACTGAAGAGGAAACAACTGTAGTAGAGGGTTCTGGGGAAAAAACGTTCATGGAGTCTGAAATAATAATACCTTTTGCGACAACTACTTTAGCTAGCTTACAGTCAGGAACTGATTCTGAAGGGCCTGGGAGCACAATGTTTAGCTTTCCAGCCCACCTTCCAGGAAAATTCCCATTTATGAATGAGGGCTCAGGAGAAGAACCAACTAAAACGAACAGTTCTATTGACCACATACCTTCAAGTACCACAGAAAAAGCTTTCAGTACTGATTTCCCATTTGCTTACTCAGGTTCTGGAGATGTGGACTTTATCACCCAATCTGAAGTAGGACATAGTCCCTTCCCACAGTTAGTTCCTGAAGGTACTGAAGCACCAGTAAGGAAAGCTGAAGAAGAGGTTAACAGTACAGTCTCTATGACTTATTCTCTCACTGTGCCACCTGTCAATTTAGCAGTAAGTGCCGGGCATGAAGTCAACACAGGTGGATTAGGAATTGAAAGTAAAGTATCCATAGAAGAAAAGATGGCAGGACAAAAACCTTTTGAATCAGAAAAAAGCACCATTGCAACAAGAGTAATTTCTGATACAGAACTATTTGCTGAAAGTGAACCAAAAACCACAGACTACTCCATTATAAAAACCAAGGAGACTTTTATTGGAAGCAAGGAACCAAGGCCCACAGAACGAGACATTTCTTTTGTTAGCACAATTATTCCAGATTTAGAAGAGAAGGCTTCGGGTATCTTTGTTCCTCTTCCAGAGGCTACCAAAGAATCACCCTCTTCCTTTGATGGTATCCCAGTGACTGAATCCCAAATATCTGAAGATGCAAGTACAGAGCAAGTAATCAAAGAGGAAGAAAATACAGAACAAAGTATTTTCCTCGCTGAAAATGATCATATAAAAAACAACAGTGACGAAGGTCCAAGGCCAACTGTTCAAGAGTTCCATACTGAGGCAGTATTTTCTGGAGAGGGGTCAGGGGATGAAGTTTTTCCTAGTCAGTCTACACTTCCATTCAGTTTCAGTGGAACAGAAGAAAACACCAGTATTTTAACTCCTGACACACATCAGCGTGAAAGTTCAGAACCAAGTTTAGAACCTGAAAAAACTGAAGAGCATGAAAAAGAGCTCAGTGGAACACATGAAGAAGTTAGATATCATGGTTCTCAAATAGATAATGCCTCAGAAATAAGTCATACAGTACCCAATACATTATTATTTGAAAGTTCTAGGGAAAATGGTGATGAAGAACCTATCTTGTCACCAGTCACTCACTCCTTACAAATGGAAGATTCTGAAAACCAGTCTTTTGGTGGGGTAGAAGAAACTCAGACCCCTAAGCAACAAACCATCACTGAAAAATTATCTCAAGAGAATTCTTCCCAGTCAGAAACTAGAGGAGTAACTTCTTCTACTATACTTTTCACTAAACCTTCTAGTCTTGAAACTGCTAAAGTATTTGGAACTTCAGCACCCCAGATTCCTGATCAGTCTTATGAAAATTCTGGGGAAGGATCTGGGTGGTTATATGGGGAAGACTCAGTTCATGCTAGCAAGATCACTCAGACAACAGTAGCAGTCCCCACAGTGCTTCCAAATAGCCATGAGGGAGCATATTCTGAATTTCCAAGTATAGAAGCTTTGGCTACAAATGAATTGCCAACAAGGGCATTACCAGCTAATACAGAGCAAAATAAAAGTTCCCAAAACTTACCTGTCACCCAGCCTAATCTAATGACATTTGAGAGTTCCACAATCCACTCCCCAGATGGTTCCAAGGAGTTTGAAGACATCACATTGACACCTGAAACAAGAAAATTTACAGAAAACATTATTTTAGATCTTGACAAAGAAGACAGTGATTTAATATTACCCACTACCAAGAGCACAACTTTTGAAGTATTACCTGAAATTACATCTGATAAAAACACTATCATAGATATAGATCACACTAAAACAATGTATGAAGACATATTAAGAATACAAACAGAAACCGATCCGGAGCTACAATCAGTCCCACATAGCAGTAATGAAGAAAATGTGCAAGTTGAAGAGAAAGAAGATGTGGCTTTTAATCTTTCTTTTACTGAAGAAAAAACAGAGGGATCAGGTGATAATCTTTGGGCTGGCCCCACTCAGGCAATAAGCAATGAATCAGCAGCTTCTGAAGATGGAATCAGATTAAGTCAGAACTATGTCTCAAAGAACGGCATACACCTCACAACTGGAATCCCCATTTCTAGCATGACAGCTGAATTAGGTGTTTTACTCCCCACAGCATCATCTTTGGCCATTCCTAGTACGTCTCCTACAACCAGTCAAGACATAAAAGGACCGCAATTTGAAGCAAAATATGTTGCTACTGAAAGTACCCTGGATGATCTCTTTGAATCAAGCACATTGTCAGATGGACAACCAATTGCTGATCAAAGTGAAGAAATCTCCACTTTGAGTTATTTGGAAGGGACACAGTCTGAGGATTATGGGAAGAAATTCATGAATCCTTCTTTCAAGCCAGAGTTATCTTCTGGGGCAGAAGAGGAATTGTTCAATGACACAGTAGATGGAAATATTGCTACCATCAAATTTATTTCTCAGAGTTTGACTGAAACTCCCAAGGTGATTGAAGGATCAAATCCCCCAGAGTACCTTGAAACAACATCAGATTCAGCATCTGGAGCAACTGTCCACTTAGTTAATAGTGCATCTGAATACCCTAAAGTAATTGTCCCAAGTTCTGCCTCAACTACAGATTCAGATGCATACCGAATTTCACCTGAGCAGACATTTAAAGAAGTTAATTCAATTGCTGAAGCAACTTTCAAGCCACCAGTTGAAGTATCATCTCACAGAATTGATTTTCCGTTTTTGACTTCCCCTGCTACTGGGTTAACAGTAGAGGAGACAGAAACATCTGCCACAGAGGTTTTAATTGCTGAGGAAGAAACTAAGGCTCCTGAATATTCCCAAATCTTTACTGATCCGATATTTTCTGGAGAAACAACTAACACACCTCCAGGTATTAACTTACCCAAAGGTGGGACATCTTTAGAAGCTACAGGTGAAAGTAATTTAGAAGATGCTTTGCAGGGAGTGCTTTCTGTTCCCACTCCTGCCAGCAATGGTTTTGTGGGAGGTGTACTAGTTCAATCTGGCCCACAGGCCACTGAAAACCCAACTACACCCTTCGCTTCCATAGAAATAAACACTGAAACCCAATCAGTTGACAATGGAGTAGCAAACAACCAAATACCTGTGAGAACTCCTGATTCTGATGATCAGGCAATGATAAGCACTGAGGAATTAAATACTGAGCATATAACTTCATCATTTCTCCTTCCGGAAACTTCTAATGGAACGGATTTCCTGATTGGCACTAATGAAGATTCAGTGGAAGGCACAGCCGTATATTTATCAGGTAAGATCACAACACTTGTAGATTTGTTCCAAAAAACCTAGGAACATTCATTTTGATCCAATAACATACATATATATGTCTATGTGTATATTTTCCTCATAATATTGAAATACTGTAGTTTTAAAGATGAAGGATGTGTGTTTCTTATGCTAGTTCAGGTCATGATTCATAATGAAATGTAGTGAAAGTAATGCTATCACCTAAATTTGGGCAATAAAAATAAAAGGCTTTATAAAACATAGATGAGAATTCCATAATAACAGTAATTCACAGAATTCAACTGGTTTTCATTCTCAACTAAAAACCCCTTTATTTTATATGTTGTAATTACACATTCATTTTAAAGGTGGAGAAATATTTCCTGTCATTTTATTTCCTATTGTAGATTCTACTGTGGAACCATCTTATCTTGAATAAAATTATGTTTTTCACGATGGCTACCTAGATACCATGGGAAATCACTCAGTTTCTACATTGCAGACTCCAGCTTTAATGGGCTCTGCTTTATAGCTGTTGTGTGTATTGAAGTTGTTTGTTAAAAGTTTCTAGGTCATGTTTTTCCTTAGAGATACATATGTGAAAAAAAATCACCAAAACAATAAGTACCGCCCATTACTGTATTAAAAGAAGGCTTAATACTTATTAAACCATAGATAATCATGGTGTCCACAATGTCAAATTTAGGTTCTCGTGAGTAATGGACAAACCGAACATTAGTTCACTAATTAGTTCACTAACAAACAAATGAACGAAACAACTATTCACATGATCAGGTGATTTGCATTTTGAGGATTATATATATATATATGTATATATATATATATGTGTGGTGTGTGTGTGTGTATATATATATACATATATAATATATATATAATATATATATATATTTCTAATACTTATCAGTAAAGGTAGTTATTTAAATAATGATGGCAGAACAGAGTATTATCTCCAGTTGTAATTGGCATATTAGAAGAACAATCTAATATTCTTCCAGAGTAACACCTGTAAACACAGTGTTCCTTTGAAATAAATATTAACACTGATTGCTCTAGTCAAGTTTACTTATCTGATGATTTTTCAGTAGTGTTATATTGTCTTTTGTACATTCTGATTGTTCTAATAAATGATATTGCCTTTTAAGTATGACCTTGAAAATCAGACTTATTATTTGCTTCATTCAGAGGGAAACTTTTTTTTTTTTATTAAATAGTTTTATAGGCAGTGTGGCATAATGAATAGAGAGCTGTCTTTGGAGTCAGGAAGAGCTACTTTCAAGTTCAGCCTCTAAGACATGCTGGCTGTGTGACCTTGGACAAATCCCACTCCTCAATGCCCCAGGGAGCTTGCCAAGACTGTTCATTTTAAAACAGTTGCTATTTGCATTGGTAGAGGGAATTTACTCACTGGAAATTCCTTACACCAATGAAATCACAGGTCCAAGAGCAAAAACAGAAGCCTAAAAATTTCTTATAATATTCTGTGAATAAATTAGATCAAAGATAGTTGAATGTTGCATTTTATTTTCTTTTGGTTATGACTAATAATTCGCCATCAAATAATTCAGTTGACTAGTACTGATTTCCTTCTATTTGACTAGAATTAGAATTTAAGTTAGAGAAAAAGATCAAGATATAAACAATAGGAGCAGAGCTTTATAAATGATTATGCTTGATATGATGAGAAAGTATTTTTGCTTTACAAATAGGTTAAGTTATTCATTCCACAACATTTACCAAGGATTAGAGGCTAAGTCTATATGGCACCAAAATAGCTTATCATCTTGATCTATTGAGTTTTTTAAAAATAGGTTTAATTGATTCTTAGACTGAATTGGCTAGCTGAGCTCATGCAAAATAGACTTTGTAGGCTAATATTTCTTAAGATAAACTTTTGTCCTTGACCTGAGCTTCACCTGCTTCACCTTCGAAGAAAGGCACTCATCCCTGCTGAATCTTAGACCGCACATTCCATCACCCAGCCTCAAACTGTGAGCCTGGCCTTTATGGCCCTGTTTTCCCCCTTGAGTCTGCAGAAATGCAGAGATAAATGGAACAGACAAGGTCTAAATGGGATTTTAAAAAGTTCTAGGGAATGTAAAACAAAGAATCTCAGTAAAACTAGAGTAATTTAGGAAAAGTTCAAGTATGCCTCTCAATAAATCTTATGACCCCCAAATAATGCAATGTCTCTTAATTTCCCCCCGGGTTTCTGAATGTAATTAACACTCAGAAAGTTTGAGTTTAGTTTTGACCAATTTTCCTTTGTGGATATGGCTTAGTGTCATCTATAGTGGTGTTTTTTCAATCCTAATGTATTCCTTTCTTTACAGCTTTACAAATATTTTAACCTTTTCATTTCAGGTACAATTACTCCAGCATTTTCAAATTGATAAATACTTGGATTATATTTTTATTTCATATGTATTGGCTTATTATTTAAATATTTTCAGCAACTATTGCATCTCCTATCTAGACACGTGAACATTTTGAACTTAAATAGCTGTGGTGAAGTACATACAAGTCCACACTAAAAATAAATCTAAGTTACTAAAATAAACTGTTTGCCCAATTATTTTAACCGAACAAAATGTATGGTTAAAGTGTAGTAAAAGCTGATGGTCTTTAGAAAAGATGTCTCTTCATAAGTACCCATTTGGTTCTGTGTTTTATCTATCTGCTAAAAGTTGAATTCTGGGCAACGTATGTCAATCATGTTTTGTTTTGCTTTTAAGTGAGGAAGATATTGTATTTATAATTTGAAAAGTTGAGGTTTCATTTTTAGGTGAGGTTTTTGTATTTTGGTTTAATCACCTGCATTAGAGTTTAATCCATATGTTGCTTTTCTTCAAGTATAGTTTAAAGGAATACATTTGGAACGTGTTTTGGGAAAAGCATATTAATGTAGCAGAAGAGACTTTCGAAGTGCACACTTTTGAAGAAATACAGTTTCTGGGCATTAAGTGGTAAAAGGCAATAATAATTCAAATGATGGTAACAAGCCAATCTGCTAAAAAGAATGCATGTTCTGTGTACCCAGCCATTCCACATGAACTAACCCTGTTTAAAAGAATACATTTCCATTCACTGTGCACATGTTTAATCGTTTTTGACTAAAATCAATTGCCATATCATGCCGACTAAATCTGCCATAGACTACTTCAGTTTCCAGAGATAGTGCAAAATTTAATTTAAAATAATAGTGAAAAAATTATTTAGAAAATTTATTATAATTTGTAACAAATACAAAATTGTAAAAAAAAAAACCACTCCAGAAAGTAACATTACTTGTGCAGTATCTCCTAATTGCTATCACAAAATTTATATTATTTTAGGAATATTGTGATATTTGAATGCTAAAAAATGTAAATATATCAAGGATAAGACTAATTATTTATTTGTCTTCCTCCCCTGAACACCATAGGGCGTGATCTCTGCAAAACTAACCCATGCCTTAATGGAGGCACTTGTTATACCAGAGATACTACTTATGTATGCACCTGTGTACCAGGATACAGTGGTGACCAGTGTGAATTTGGTAAGATGCCATTGGCTACAAGTATTTTCCTAAAACCAGACACAAGTCGGCATTTAATATTAGGATTTCTGAGAACCAGAGATCATAATATATAGAGGTCATATTTATACTAGCAAAGTAAAGTACAGAAGTTGGGCCATAATTTCATAACTGGTACAACATCACTTTTGTGTGTATTTACTTGAATTATGGTAGAATTGTTCAAATATTTCACTTTGCTAGTGAAGATTAAACCATGGTGTTGATTAAATAAAATATTTTTACGTGTATTTTACACATAGGTATTTTTCAGATTCATTTATGTGCCAGCAAATCATGAGTTATACTTTTCCCCCCTCAAAATACCATATTAAAATGATACTTTGATCAGGATCATATGTTTCAAACTTGTAAAGAAGGAGTGAGGAGACTCTTGCTCTTTCCTGAGGTCCTGTCCAGGTATATACAAAGAGAAAAACCATTTGTTTTCCTTTGGAACTTTTGTCTTAGGTGTAAAAATCCCAGGAGGTATTCCCTACCCTCCTCCACCTCACTTTCTCTCTTTTTTTTGGCTAGGCAATGGGGTTAAGTGACTTGCCCAGGGTCACACAGCTAGTAAATGTTACGTATCTAAGGTTGGATTTGAACTCAGGTCCTTCTAACTCCAGGGCCAGTGCTCTATCCACTGTGCTACCTAGCTGCCCCTACCTTACTTTCTCTTTAAAGAGTTCAGAGACCCATGGAGTTTGGCAATACTATATTCCTCCATTAGCCCCTCTAAGAATTAGCCCACAGTATATTATTCAGCTTGTATCACTGCAAAGTAGTTTTCATCTTGTTGGCTGTTTCATTCTTAATTGATCTCACTGATACCCTATACAGCCCCCAACTTTGTTTGGGGACCATTGAGAACAAGATTGTGGTGGGGATTGAAAAGGTATTATTCTGAGGGCAGAGAATTGTTTTCTTTCTTTTTTAATGACATTTTTAATGGGGTTAATCATATTTATAGAGTTAAAAAGAAATCCAATTTCTAACTCATAAAATTCTGAAGAATGGTTAGAAAGAATCTCATGGCTGAAGATTAAAAGCGTGCTGAGATTGTCTTCTACTATCATGTGGTATATAGTTAAAAAAGTGATTCTTTTTTTGTATTTTGAATTGTGTCTATAAAATATGATGTCTCTTAAGAAAGGGATATTCTCATTCTAATTCATTTTTATACAAAGATGCATTGCATTTTGTAAAAGAAATAAATCAATGCCTATATAGAGACATACAGACATATATGGAAAAAAGCATATTGACAGGTTTAGTTTGAAGTTATGTTAAATAAGAGAAATTTAAAGTTTTAACAGATTTTTTTTAACTTTAGGCTGTCGTATTTATATTCATTACTGAAACTATTACTTTGGGGTGATTTTTTAAAAAATGTATGAAAGTTTTTGTAGTTATTTCAGCCATCTTAAAAGACATTAATTTGACCCTAAAATATCCAGATGCAGTAATTAGCAAAACAAACAAATCTAACCTAAAGATAAACTGACTTGACATGTGTTGGTTCTATCAATCCATCTAGATATAGCCTCCACTTCAAATTTAGAATACTCAACATATATTCATTAAGAAACAGCCATGGTAATATTCATGAAGTCAATAATGATTGTCTATTAAAAATAAGAATGGATGCTAGTAAGTGGTTGTATATGTTGAGAGGAGAAGTTTGAAAACAAAGAGAAAGGCATAGACCTAAAATTTAGTTTTGAAAAGAGCAGCCTAATGATTAGAAAGTCAGTATAGAATTGTGATGAAATTTTTGACATCTTATTTTTGCTATTCATTGAAGGATAGTAATGCGCTTCCTTGGAGATTCGCGCGCGTACACACACACACACACACACACACACACACACACATCCTTACATGTCCCATGGAGGTTAGGGCCAAGGATATAAATTATACATAAAATACATATTCAAATTATACTTTGAATAGATGGCATATTTAACTCTGGATCCTTAAGTAACTATTTCATAGAAGATACCTGAAGCCTTTGTTACTTGCTAGATAAAGAGATTCCTCACCAGAAAAGGGCCTTCATATATTCATGGGCTCCCTACAATGCAGGTTCTTTATGGTAACTGATTCTCAGTTAAGAATCAGACTGCAAGTCAATTAGTGCTCAGACGACTCACCAAGGAAGAAGTGGATTCTACTCTCCGGTATTTAATGATCTCCTTTCTAACTAAATAGAAATGATTTTTGCCAGCTCCCCTGCTCAGTACCCCATTTTGTAAATGTGCTCTTGAGGGCTTATGTGATTTTCCTGTAGATTTTGATGAGTGCCAGTCCAATCCCTGCCGGAACGGAGCCACCTGTGTTGATGGTTTCAATACATTCACATGTCTCTGCCTTCCAAGCTATGTTGGTGCTCTTTGTGAACAAGGTAAGTCCTACTACAGTGTTTTAATAATGATCATTTTCATTATTACATTTTAAAGTTTTGTTATGTTATATTAGAAGAAAGTGAGTATTTTCGGCAATATTACCCTTATTTCACATACTCTTTTCAATAATAAAATCACAGGTCATCAGAGTACCTCAGTTTCCTCGTTTGCTGTGGTACCACATGACCTATGTTAATCAATAATCAATCAATATTTATTAAGCACCTATTATGTGTCAGGCGCTGTGTATTCTTTTCTTCCATCAGCAATCCCCAGATGTTAGCATGGTTTTTTGCTGCTCTCACCTCTTCTTTATCAACTATATTCCCCACCAATACCCCTGTGTGCCTATGAGAGAGGATATTGACATTTCTCTTTCTCCCTTACCTTACTCACTGTGAGTAACATATAATCTCCTTTCAGGTATCTTAAAGATTTTCAGTAAAGTATGCACCACACAAAAACATACAAGGAGATTATGATAATTTTTCAAATGTGGAGGGAGGAATTTATAAGTTCCAAAGATCTTATTAATTTTGAATCTCTATGTAAACTATAGAAGGCAAGCCCCTCATGTCACCCCCTATACTCAATAAACTTTAATAGCTCCCTATTGCTTCCAGGACCAAATATATAATGCTCTGTTTGGAGCTCAAAGCCCTACACTACCTAATCCTCTTCTACCTTTCCAGTCTTCTTACACCTTACTCCTTGACATGTATTTTTTAATTCAGTGACACTGGCCTCCTGGCTGTTCCATGAACAAGACACTTCATCTCTTGGCTCCAAACATTTGCTCTGGATCTCCCCAATGCCCAAGATACTCTCTTTCCTCTGTTCCATCTACTGACCTTTCTGGCTTACTTTAATTCTCAGCTAAAATCCCCTTACTCACTAGAAGCCATCCCTAATCTTTCTTAATTGTAGTGCCTTCCCTTTGTTAATTAGTTCCTATTGATTGTGTATATAGCTTGCTTTATGTGTATTTGTTGGCATGTCTCTCCTTATTAGATTGAGGGTTCCTTGAGGGCAGGGACAATCTTTTGCACAGTACCTGGCACATAGTAGGCCCTTAATAAATGTTTGATTGTTTGATTCCTTAGTTCCCTCTTCCTTTCTGACAAATACCCTCCTCCTGACGTCCAGCCTACTCCTCTCTGGGCTGAAGTTTCCTTTCCTTGCTGGGAAAATAGTGCCAAGTGTTTTATTTTAATTTTTTTTTTTTGTCTTGGCAGATTTAGTTTGATAGGACTGTTACATGTCTAAGCTTTTCTAGCCAAGTCTTCCTTAACCCTTGTTCTGGATGTAAAGGCCATTGTCTGTGATGGGTACATCCTTTTCTTCCCTTAACCCCCTGCCTAATAAGGGATCATGCCACACTTCTGCATAACACTTGGTTTACAGCAAAGTCCTTCATGTACAACTCTCTGGCTAAGAACATTCAGTTTTTGTTTTGTTGTTGTTTTTACCTAGGTGAGAAAGACTTGACTTTAATTGTTTTCTCAAGATTTCTCCCTTTGGCTACAATTATTTTCTCATGATTTCTCCGCTTGAGCTTTTTAGCCAGTCCTTAATCTTGTAGTCATACCATCTCCTATAGATCTTGATGTTCTAGCCCTGGAAATTCTCTTTCTCTACCCTCGGACCCTCTCTCTCTCTCGGTCTCTATGCCTCTCTGTCTCTTTCTATCTCTGTCTCCGTTTCTGTATCTCTGTCTCTCTCTCTTTCAGTGAGTCACCTGAGGCAAATCTAGATGATAATGGCTTGTCCTGCCCTTTGTGGTGAAGTTGTCCTAATATGAAGTCTTCCTTCTCTCTGGAGGCTGTGTGCTTCAGGAACACACTAGGCCTCATTTCCTTATTGTGTTTGATCTCATTCTGTCAACTTGGTTTCCCTACGTTCTTCTTAGACTGAATTTCCTTTCTTCTTTTCCAGAGACCTTATGTGGATCTCTCTTTGCTTTCATCTAGCTGGTAGAAATGAAATGATTGACATTCCCCTTGGGGCCCATAAACTGTGGACACCTGTTCCTGGCCCAGCTGTTAGCTCCAACCATTTTGCTGCTCTAACATTGCCAAGTTATGGATAATCTTCAGCTGCCTAGAACAATGACTTACTAGAATCTAGGTTCACTACTGAAAACAAAATAAAACAAAACAAGCCCCTAAATTTCATAGTGCCTGTCACATAGTACATGCATGATAAATGGTCACTTATTGATTGATGATAAATGAAGATGACATACTAACCAAAATAATACTAAATAGCTAGCATTTACACGGCACTTAAAGATTTGTGAAGTGCTATACATATTATCATCTCATTTGATACAACAGCCCTATGAGTTGCTAGTATTATCTTCATTTTACAAATGAAGAAACTGAGGATGAGAAAGGTTAAGTAACTTGTGCAGAGTCACACAGCTAATAAATGTCTGGGGCAGGATATGAACTCAATTCTTCCTGACTCAGGATCTAGCAACCTTACCCAGTGTACCACCTGGCTCCCTAATAGCGGTTTACAAAATGCCATTCCCCCCCCACCCAAATAAGAGCACTGTACTTGGAAATGAAACAGCTAACATGTTGAGGAGATAGAGTGATTCATTTTCAGAACCTCATGAAGACATTTGCCCTGTTCATCACTTCTTACCTGATAGACAAGAACTAAGACACTTACACTGAGGCGTATTGAAAGACAACCAGCTAATAAGATAGTATTATAGCTACAATTTATATTATTTTAAGTAAAAGCTACCTTAATATCAGAGTATGGTTTGGGCACTTGAGAGAACTGGGCTTATTGTTATATTTTTGTTTTGTTTTCACAAGGGAGGAAGGCTAAAAGATAGATTGTTTTTTAGTTACAATTTCTGAAGAACAACCTGCCACAATATTATCATAATTCATCATTTCATTAGTGTGGGCTTGGGGTGCAGCATAAAAAACACCCGGAATGCCCTCACAATGATATTTTACATGTAGAAGAAACGTCTGTGTTTCCTTTCAGAAAATCTAAGTTCAAATGGCTTTAGCACCTGATGCACTATTATTTGCATTTTATGGCCAACTTGAGAGTGAATGTTAGGTGGTTAATGGTAACATGTTTTCATTCATCAATCAGAAACAGATTACATTCTCTGCACACTCAGCTTTAGAATTAAATTTCAGCCACGTAAAGTCACAGAGTGCTTTGGGACCTGAGAAAAGTATCACCTGCCAAATTTCCATTCCAGACAAAATGAAAATGTATTAGAGATTCAGACAAAGCTATCTGGCAAGATTTTTTCTTTCCCAGCATCAGTCCTGACTTCAGCACAGTTAAGGGGCAGCCCAACAGTAAGGCATGTACTTCTGGGATGAGTATGTGTCTTGTTTTGTTTCAATGCATGGCATGTACTATTCATTCTAGAAAAATAAACCATAAGTATAATTATGGCTGATATAGGATCTTCCTCTTGGGAGAAAGAATTAGGGAAAGATGCCATTAGTTGAGGATTACCAAGGGGTGAGGCATTGAAATCATATCACCCTCAGGATTCTGGCTTTTATTTACCCCAAGTGATGATGATGATTCAGCATATCATATTCAGTTCAATTCCACAGCTGACTTAAAGTGGATAGAGCACTGGGCTCAGGTATTGTATGGAATACAAAAACTAGATGAGAGACTAGCCCTTGTCCTCATGGAGCTTATAGTCTAATAAGGAGAAATAGCACATAATGCAGATAACTGTAGTTAGTTACAAAGTATGAATATTAGAAAGATTTATGATTTCATCTATGTAGTAAAGTGTATTGTAACTGATCTATGGCTTAGGAGAAAAGTCCTAGGAAGCTGTCAGAGGCTTTAGGAGATTACATGACTTACCCAAGTTCATATAGTTTGGAAGTATTAGATGCAGAGATTGAACCCAGGTCATCATGACTCCAAGTCTTCCACTCCATTAAGGCTATGCACGACAAGGGCAGCTCGGTGATGCAGTGTGTAGAGCAGTGGGCTTGGAATCAGGAAAATTCATCTTCCTGAACTTAAATCCAGCCTCAGCTGTGTGACCCTGGGCAAGTCACTTAACCCTGTTTGCCTCAGTTTCCTCATCTGTAAAAGGAGTTGGAGAAGGAAATGGCAAACCGCTCCAGTATCTTTGCCAAGAAAACTCCAAATGAGTTCATGAAGAGTCAGATATGGTTGAAAAATGACACTGAAAAACAACATGCATAAGAAATGTGTTAGCAGAGCAAGCAAAATATTTTAAGAGGCCCAAAGGGTAAAAGACTATTACTTAATGGAGGGAATTAACAAGGAATTTTCAGTGGTGGTGACTTTGGAATAAGGCCTTGAGCAATGGTTAGGTATTCAACAGGTGCAGAAAGAACATCTATTTCTGGTCATAAGGACCATCATGTGTGAGGTTGGAAAGTACGAGGCATATAATAAGGAGAATAGTAAGTAGTCTACCAGGGAAGAATATATGGAAGGTTTTAAAGGGGAGAAGAATTTATGTGCGTGGTTGACCAAAGAATATGAAATATGAGGAATAAGAAATGAAAGGAGCACAGGCAATTTTTTATTTATGCATATGCACACAAAACTTCAGGACATATAAACAGAGATTTTAAAGGTGTTCTTAGGTGATCTCTCTTCTCTCCTCCCTTCCTCTCCTCTCTTTATGATGAATGTGTCTCTATTTTTTTGATGGCAATTGTTGGCATCGGTATATACTCAACTCTGAGAAGCTCAGGAATGGAAGCACACATGAGTGCAATAATAATGGCAAGGTAGAAAGAACCTCATGGACTTGAATAATTTCTCAGAATACTTAGAGAAGAGACAATTTCATATTCAAATGTATTCTCTTGGGACTTTGGAAATTGGGAGTTATTTGGAGCCAAAGTGCAAGATATGTTTGACCCCTGAGTAGTGAGTGCTTCCTTTACATTCTAGAGACAATGCAATTCTCTCCTTTCTTTGATTCTGCTCCTTATAGATTCTAATGGGAATAAAGTATGCATGATGTAAAGGTACTGAAGAAGCTAAGTCTGCCATTCTCCTGGACCTAGGGGAAACATTTTTAGAGAGCTGTGTCTGTAGCTCTTATCATGAGCAGGAGCTGGCTCTGTCAAATCCATACATATACCTAAATGTGAGGCCCAGTATAGCAATCAATCGAGACACCATTAAAGCCTCACAGATTGGGTTTAAAGAGCAGAAAACTTTTCCATATTTCCAATAGGCTATAAGAAATTCATAACCAAAGCAGCTGCCTTTCAGTCAAATGATACAGATTTCAGTTCTCCCCTGGTTAGCAAAAAGAATGAACATCATTTTTCGCTTTAACTCATGTCAAACTGGAACTCTGGGTTTAGGATGAAGGTTGCAGAATCAGTACCAATTTTTCAAAATGATTATAGCCATGGTACCTACTGCAAGCATTCCAGTCATACTGGGCTTTAACTATTTATTTTAAATTACCAAATATAGACAAATGCAAGTAGACAGTGTGCCAAGAAAAACTGGATATCACATCTTGTTTTAATAGGACCTTTTTCTTCTTTTAAATCTATTTTTAGTTGGATTTAGAGATATAATTTTCATTGACCATGGGGGTGGGGGTGGAGGTTGTTAATCAAATCCTGGAAGCCAGAGGTGCCAAACATTCCTGCAACATTCTGGAACCAGATTAAAATGTAACTGGGAAATAGGTAATAAAATAAATGAAAGCACAATAGAATATAGCTAATGTTAATATGAGCTTTCCTATGTTAGTATGCAGCCATTAGGGAAGCTTATGTATAGCTAAGTGGCCTTCCTTTTGAGTTTAATTTAATACCACTGCCATAAGATATTAAATTTAAGATTACTTGTTTTCTTTGTGAAAGAGTCTCCTGGTGATACAAAATAACATGGTGATTGGCAGAAGAACAAGAGAAGCTAGGTGGCACAATGTATAAAGTGCCAGGCTTGGAGTCGGGAAGACCACTCTTCCTGAGTTCAAATCTAGCCCTAGGGGGCAGTTAGGTGGCGCAGTGGATAGAGCACCAGGCCTGAAGTCAGGAGAACCTGAGTTCAAATTCGGCCTCAGAACGAACACTTGACATTTCCTAGCTGTGTGAGCCTGGGCAAGTCACTTGACCCCAATTGCCTAAAAGCAAAATAAAAAAAAAAATCTAGCCTTAGACACTTACTAGCTGTGTGACCCTGGGCAAGTCACTTAACTCTGTTTGCCTCAGTTACTTCATCTGTAAAATGAGCTGGAAAAGGAAATAGTGAACTACTCCAGTATCTTTGCCAAGAAAACTCCAAATGGGGTCATGAAGAGTCAGACACAATTGAAACAACTGAACAATAGGTAAAAGAGAATCAAATTAGAAAAAAAAAAGCATTTGGGGCTATTTGTGGAGCAAAGAAGTAGGAATGTATGACAATACATATTGATCTTCTGTTTTAAAAAATAAGTCCCTGTTTTCTACAAAATTAATCATAATTCTAAGGTTAAAGTAGAATATTAATTTGTATGCTATTGGCTTGGCTCTGTGCTTTATGTGATTGAATCCAAATTTCTAAAACTTGTTCTCCTCCCATACAACCTACCCCCCACATACATAAGACTTTTTTTTCTTCTGAGAGCTTCCACATATACTTCCCTAGTGGGCAGTTAAAGGATTAGAGCCGCTAAATTCCTGCTGCATTCTTACACACTGCCTATTGTTTCCATACTAAATCTGCTTGTCATTTTTTGACTCCTTTTCTGTGAGACTTGGTGGTCTCCAAGCAAGAGTTATAATGAAAGCCAAAATGTCTACCACACAGTCCTCAGAACAGTTAGTCCCTGTAACCAAACAATAACACGATGGACTAAACTGAAAAAAAAAAAGGTCATCCTACAAAGACAAGCTACATCTGCTCCATGATTAGAGTGTGAATCACTAACATGGAAAGCAAAATCCCTCAGGATCCATGTTTTCACACAGTCATGGAAAGAACATTGAACTGGGAGTCCAGAGTCTGAGATTCACATGCATTTTTGCCACTAAAAAGTTGATATGATGTCAGGCATGAATAACCTCGATGGGCCTTGGTTCTCTCATCTATATAGTTAAAAGATTGGGAAATATAATCCTTAAGGTTCCTTCTCATTCTATGATTATCCTATTTGATTACTTTTGAAACTTAATTAGTATGTGGCTATTTTTGTGGTTCTTCAGACTCCATTTTTGAGGAGGACCAATGACATGATAGGATGATGTCTTGACTCACATGTGAATTGGATTTTTCACTCAATAAAGTAGTAAAATTGCACTAGAGCTTATCAATAAGTGATATTTCATTCTTTTTTCATTTTGTATTAAAAATTTACAGCCATCCATGTCTTCTCATCCCCACATTGAGGATTCTTGTCCCTATTGGCCCATGTTATCCCATAAGGAGGATTATAAAAATCAAGTTTTTATAGTAGTCATCTGATCATTTTCTTAATGCCTGTTTTTTTAAGTATAACTAAAATATAAATTAAAAATATGTTAAATATAAATATGATAAATGTAACATGCATACATATATTTTATAAATATAAAATGTATTTATATGAAAGTATATAAATATATTTATATATAAATATATTATATATAACACATATAATATAAATATGATAAATGTAAAATAAATAAAATATAAATATAGATACAATATATAAAATAACCATAAAAATATTCTTTCAGAGTTCCTTTATCTTTACTAATTTTCATTCATTTATTCAGGTAATTTTTTTAGTACTTATTTAGTAATTCTACTTTGAAAATATCTTTCTTAGACTGTATTAAAAGCCAAAAATTAGGATAACATTGAAATATTCAGCTGAATTGGTACAAGAGTGTGTTGTCTTAATATTGACCATGATTTTACCACTGTGGTCAAATTTAAGTTCAGCCTTGACCTAACTAAACAAATTAAGAGTAGTTTTTATTCATTCTGAACAATTTCTGGGCGATTAAACATGTTGATCTGATTTCATTGAATTAATTTCTTCACCAGGTTTTCAGAAATGTCTGAAGGGCAGGCATTCAGCTCTATTTGTCTTTTCATTCTGTTCATGACTCTCCCCCTTTCCTTGGAGGCTACATTTTCATAAACTTTAATGCATTATACAAAGTTTCTTAATTGATTAGCATAAAAACTGGCAATTTCATCTGGGGCAAATCAGTTACTTTCTTCTTATTGGTCTCAGTGAATGAAAACTTGGAAGTATCTTGGGAAGATCCATCTTTTTCACATCCTCTGGTTTAGAAAGAAGGACAAAATACTGTAGCAATGTTCCAGATTCCTCTCACTCAAGAGAAGAGTTTTTCTCTTTGGAACAGTGATCTCATACTAGGTTAGTTTAAAAAAAGAGGGTTTAATTAGACCCTTGAGGTATTTTTGTGAGTAACTAATACTGACATAACTACGTAGTTTTTTTCTTTGAATGATTTATGTTAAGATGCTTATCCTAACTCCTACTTGTACTGAAGGCTTGCTAGCAACATCTCCCCTGCAGTGTTCAAATTCCCCTGAGGGGTTGCTGTTGTCTTTCTAATGAGATCGCCTCAACATCAATTAGTTTTACAAAAAGATATTTACTGGAAAGATTGCAAGACCCAAAGTACACAAACATCTCCTAAATTGGGGACCCACTCATTGTCTCCTAGATCCCTGGGGAGAAAGCGTTTAAACTTCACGCATTTGCTATAGAGCTCACTTCCACATTCAGCATACCTCCTGGAGGAGTCATCTCTTTGTTGAAGAGCATGGTATTTCAGCCAACAGGTTGACCTATTACAGGTGTGAGTCAAGCATTCATCAGAGGTGCACTGGTGTACTCAGCTTAGTCTCAGATGGGGTAGAAACTGAAGCAATGGCAGGGCCATGAACTCATACTATATGAAGGTCAAGGTGTCCTCCTGACCGAGGCCTAACAGCCTGAGGCCTCTCTCCCCACTCACAGGCTCACAGAATCTCACCTTTCTCACTTGAATGCAGCCAGGGAGAAAAAGAATCTAATCAAAAAGCCTTTCTTCACCATAGACTAAGCAGACAGGAAACAGTTACAGTATACCTGTGCATTCTCTGAAGTTCATGGCTATCATCAGGTATAACAAGCCTCTGCACGGAGGATTACAGAAGACAAAACAATGATCATTCTTGAAGGATAGGATCCCCATTGGCTAGTGCTCCCACGTTATATTAGAGTTCTCCTTTGTGGTGGGGAGCTGGGTGCTGGCCTTTTGATTTCATTGGTGTCTAGCACTCTCTGTGAGGAAATTCTCTCCATCAAGGCAAGTTGGCACCTGCTCTCCAACTTGAAGGCCTAGAAGGTTACCTGTCTGGGATGCTGAAAAGTTAAGGGATTTGCCTAGGGTCACTCAGTCAGCATGCGTCAGAGCTGGGGCTCAAATGCAGGTTGTAGGCACTGAAATTGGCTCTCTATCCACTACAAACATTGACTGTTGTTCTGTCATATAAATGAATCCGAAATCATAATTTATTTTGGGAAAAGTAGCTCCAACCTGACACTTGTCCAACTTGGAGAAATGCCCTGCTTGTGTGTATGTGTGTGCGTGTGCGTGTGCGTGTGTGTGTTTGGGGATGTGCATGAAGGTATTGAAAGCCTCCGTCAATCAGCAGTGCTCTCAATTCAGTAGCAACTTTGCCCCAAATCATCTGGATATTCACCACTGTACATGAGGATGCTGACTGAACCTTTTCAATCTCTTTGAGTCAGTGACACTTTATAGACACAGCTTGAATCTTCAAGAGACAGTTTTACTGTGAGAGTTGCAGTATGTGAACACAGTTGAGAATGTCTGAGATGAGATTTATAAACCCTTGCTTTGTTGTTGTTGTTTTTTTTTACCCCAGACACAGAGACGTGTGATTATGGCTGGCACAAATTCCAAGGTCAGTGCTACAAATATTTTGCCCATCGTCGAACATGGGATGCTGCCGAAAGGGAGTGTCGACTGCAGGGTGCCCATCTGACCAGTATCCTGTCCCATGAAGAACAGCTATTTGTGAATCGTACGTACCAGCTAGATCCTTAAAGGGAGCACCTTGATTCAATATATATCAAAATATGGTGCTATATGCTCATTGATGACATTCCTTTTAAATGTCTTTAATTTTTCCATTTAGTATGTGTTTATTATCTCACTTATTCCACTGATTAAGACCCAATTGAAAGGAAGAAAAGCAAACATCTTGCTTTTATTCTCTATTTCAGGGTTTCTTAACCTTATTTTTTTATTAACTTTTTTTAACTTAAAAAATTGGATAGCTTTATTTTGACACCACTTTGGTGGTCCTTTGTAATATGCATTTTATTTATTTAAAACCAAAAATCTGATAAGGGATCCCTGGATTTTTCCAGCCTGCCAAGGGAGTCCGGACCATGAAAGAAGGTTAAGAACCTCTACTCTACACCTTCCTGAATTAATTATTAACATCTTTAAACTAGAGAGAGTGCTCTCTGCATAAATCAAACAAATACTTGGAGCTCAAAGGGCATGAAATTATGTTCTAGACATGTTTCATGTCCCTCAAATTTAAAGTCATGAAAATCAAATGAACATCAGGTCAATTCATTAAAAGAGAGAGAAAAAAGAACAATTTTTAGGTAGATCATGGGTGAAGCTTTTGGTTGCAACGTGATTCCGTGCTCTATTTACCAATTTCCCAGAGATATCTAACATCACTCAGAAACCTTATGGCATGATAACAGTGGCAAAAGTCCTGGATTTGGAGTCAAAGAATCTGGATTTGAAACCAGGCTTTGCTGTTTTTGACCTGTGTGACTTTGGACAAATTAATTGGTCTCTCTGGTCCTTAGTTTCCTCCTGTGTAAAATGAGGAAGCTGGAGTCAATGGCCTGCAAGGCCCCTTCAAGCTCTTAGTCGGAGATACTCTAATTATATTTTACAAGCTGTTCAGACAGATCTTGCATGTTGACACAAAATCCATCTACTCTTCTTCCAGATGACCAGGAGGTCTTTGTTAAAAGTTTGATCATTGCGTTTTTGATTGGCAGAAAAATGTCTAAGTGTTCATTTTCTGATTTGGAGTGAGAACAAATGTATCACTTCCTCAGACTATGTTGCTATGGAATCTGGAATACAACTTTGGGTCGCTGAAATTTTTGCTGTTTTGTCTGGTCTGTTTATGTTAACTAAAAATACTGGAAAAATGTCTAATGTAACAGAGAGAACATACTTATTTATTTTCAGTCAGCTGTTGAAATGATTTCTCCCAACTAATTGCTACCACCTGACATTTTAGAGTTCTACAATGAGTTTGTAAGCTAGCCTGCCAGTTTAAAGCATATGGGGCTGAAGAAAAAAGATAACCAGTACTATTGCTGAGGAAAAAAAGATAACCAGGAGTATTGGATGGTAGCCCATGAGTGCTTTTTATGAGCCCTTAAAATAGTTCCAGCCAGAGAAGAGGAAATGTGATTCATTCCAAAAATAATTTTCTTTTGATAAATTTTCTTCCATATATGGGAAAGTCAGTTAAAAAAAATATATATATATATCTGTGGTGTTTCCTGTCCCTTAGGTGTGGGCCATGATTATCAGTGGATAGGCCTCAACGATAAGATGTTTGAGCATGACTTCCGTTGGACAGATGGCAGCACACTGGTAAGACACTAATAGAAAGGCTAATTCAATTTATTTCAATTAAATAAGCATCCATTAAGCAACCACTATAGTCTAGGTGCTGTACTAGCCTCTGGGGGGACATACAAAGACAAAAACCAGAGACTCCCTGCCCTCAAGAGGCTTACATTCTGCTGGATAACTCTTCAAGCACCCCAGCTGTAAAATTGGTGCTGAAAGTTTTTCTACTATTAAATATGAAGAAACCAGACTGGAGAGAAATCAGATTACTTGGGCAGGGTCACACAGACTTGTCCAAGTTGTTGTAGAACAATAAGAATCAGACCCTAGAACTGACTCACTGCAACCTATACATACATATATATATACACACACACAAACACATACACATGCATACACACACACTCTCACACACACACACACACACACACACATCCCAGCAGCAGCACCACCACTGCTATTATCACTCTGGTTTTCTAATCATTACTACATTCTGTTCTGTTTAAGAGCACAGTGTATCAAATCAGGTTCCCAGAAAAATGGAAAATAAGACCAAAACTCAGGAATTATATAGTAGTTAATTATGTACTTTCACAGGTAATTGCAAGACTTGCCATGAGTCTGACTTTCAGATGGGTCACCTTTTCTTTTTAAGCATAAAAGTAAAAGTGAAAAGAAAGAAAAAGTGCATGAGAGGGGAATATTTTCTCCTTTCCACCTGAAACATTTTAAAGAGACACCTACTTTTAGGCATGGCTCAGTTTTGTCTAGGCAAGAAATATTCTTTCTACCATTCAAAAATTGTCTGGTATATGGTAGTGTGAATTTCCATCAATCAAAATATGTTGGCTGTGTAATACTACTTTTAAATTTATTTTTCTTGTTTACCATCTATGTTGCATTTTGTCTTAAAAAAGTGAATGTCTTGCCCTTAGCATGCCCTGGCTACACTAACTGAATTTAGTTTCTCTAAATAAATCAGGGGCAAACTCGATGACTTACTGCCAGTAAATGCTTTTAGAAATTTATGGTATGATAAGGTAGTCAGAATGGTACAAGTAAAATTCTTTGTTTAGAAAAAAGAAATAAAGGCCAAATATCAACTTGATTTTGAGGTCATTCTTGTGAATTACTTGGATTCTTTACATTTTCTATTCCAAGTTTCCTATGTTTAAATGATTGACCCAATACAACGGTGCCACCTATGTGAATTCCATGAGTTTGGGGAAATGTGGTCATTTCCTGATGCTGAAGTGATGTCTACCTATCAAAGGCACTTCAACCAATATACTTAGGAAAACAACAAGTTTACAAACCACTTTTAATCCTTAAAACACTGTGAAATATGCAATACAGATTTATAAAATGAAGAAGTTTTGATTAACTCATAGATTCCAACTGATTTCAAACTGGAAGGGACATTAGAGGTAGTCACCATATTTTACAGATGTGGAAACTGATCCTCAGAGAATTTAAAGGACTTGCCCAAGGTCATAAAACTAGTAAAACTTGCAGGTGAGACTGAATCTAGTTTCTTCTGACTCTAAGGCCACCACTTTTTAACACTAAATGGCACTTCTTCAGCAACTGGTACCTATATGTATATCTACTCCTCTCTGCTCAGTTATATGTGTAGTTAATATGTATGGTTTGTCAGTTATAGTCATGATATATTATTATATTTATTCTGGTTTTGTTAGTAGTTTGAAAGTCTCTCAAAGGTAGGGACTATTCTTTTTCTTTCTTTGCAGAAAATAGGACCTTGTCAAACAGTATGTACTATGTTAATCACATGGACTGACTGTTACTAGAAAATTTTCAAGTGTTGGAAAATAATGTATTGAATTATATCATTTTGGGGAGGAGATGATATTTGCTTGAAGAAGGGGATGTATCTAAGTATCTGAACTTCAGGCCTTCTGGTGAATAGGGTCAAGTAAGGAAGGAAACAAACATTTATTAAGTACCTGCTGTGTGCCAGGCATTGTGCTTAATGCTTTCAAATATTAATTCATTTGATCTTCACAGCAAATTGAGGAAATTGAGGCAAACAAAGATTAAGTGACTCACTCAGGTTACACTAAGTATTTGAACTCAGATCTCCCTGGCTTCAGGTCCAATGTTCTATGACTGCGCCACCTAGTCACCTAGCTTGTAAACAGCAGTGGTTAGATTGTTATTTACTATTGCTATAAACTCTAAAAAAGTAGTTGGTAGCCTATGATTATACTCTAAGCAGGACTGGTCTTGAGCTAAGAGAGGGAGAGGTGGCTTTCTTAGGTCTCTTGCTATGACTGATGGGGGAGAGAAATACTCAGCTAAGGAGAGTGGCAGTCTGGCAATCCCTATGGCAGTCCCCATTCATTCTGTACATACTATTTAGAATACCAATCTTTTGCTTAAATTTTTGGGCCAAAGTAATGTCTCCACTCACCTGAATTCCCTGAGTTTGCTTCTCTAGAATCTGGGGCACCAATGCCAGGACAAAGATGGAATTATGAGACAATAAAACAACAGAAATATATTTTGATGAAGGGAGGGGTGAACAAAAACTTTTACTGTCAGGTAGACAAATTTTTGGGATTCATAAGAAATAGCTGAATGGAGGAAAAGACTATTTTAAGTGACTGTATACTTGAATAAGTATATATATTTTGGAGGTTTCTAAGCAGGCAGGACTACTATTTCAATGAACTTACAATCTCAAAACTGTACCTGTAGTGTTATAGGTCACAACCCAGTCCTGGCCTCTTATTTTGGGCAACTCATTTTCATTAATAATGATAATTTGCATTAATGTTTGCAAAGTACATTACAAATGTTATCACATTTGACCCTCACAACAACTCTGAGAAGTAAGTATTATTATCATCATTCCCATTTTTGAAGATAAGGAAACTGAAGCAGACTTGCCCAAGGTCACACAGCTAATAAGTGTCTTAGTCAGAATTTGAACTCAGGTCTTCCTTGTTCTAAGTCTAGGGTTCTATCTATTGTGCCACAAAGCTACCTTAAGTAGAAGATCTACCCAGTGCAATGGAGACTTTCTTTTAGTTCTTTTAGTCATATCATGGTTTATTTCAACATTGGAGCTATTCGTTTGTCATACCTAACTCTTGCACCATGATTGGACACCTCATGTTCCAGTCATACATGTCTTTTATGTTGTCTCTGCCTTCTCTCACAGGCAAGTCATTATTGCTCATTTATTGCAGTTTGCTTTCTCCCACCACACACCTTCCTGTGGCCTACCATCACTTTTACTTGTAATTTTTCTGAGAGGGCTGTGATCCATGATCTCTAGGAGCATCAGCAGTACTTCATTATCTATAAGGAATAGAGAGAGAATCTTTATCTCTATGTATGTACATATAGATATCTACATTTTTATACACTCATAATTCATTCAAGTGTGTATTCAGTAATATTCATAAGCATGTGCATACATAAAACATATAGTATATATGTGTATATAGATACTTTAATATAAATATACACATACACACATACATGCACTTTCTACTCAAGATGACTGGATCAAAGCACAATTTTCGGTTTCATGGGTAATTGGAAATTCTCTTCATGTCAGATAAGAATATGAGATAGGGTGCAGGTGAGACAGGATAACTGGATTAACTTGAAACGTTTGGTTTTGCTACAATCTAATTAACTTATGCAGGCATAAGCTCAATAATGTTTTGTTCTTATTTCTCTTTATTAATTAAAGAGAAAAAATTACTGTGAAGTAAACAACTTATGAATATTTCTTTAAATAGGGATGGCTCTAGAACTGGTAGAAAAGCAAAAAAGTGAACTCTGGTGAAAGATGGAATCTCTGTCAACTTCTCCAAGCCATTTATGCCAATCTATCCCTGAAACATCAAATGGAATGAGTACAAAAACAAAGTCCCCCAAATAAACCCTACAAGTTTATCCAGAAAAGTTAAAGTTGACAGACATTTACTTTCCTCTTAATTCTTCCTTTGTGAAAAAAAAAAGTGCATTAAGAAATTTCCCTTAACTTTGAACATTTTGGAGCAGGAAAAGACCATCTGCCCAACAGACTGTTCTCGCCTCCCCAAACCTTTTTGACTGATCTCAGTCCCACTTTCCTGTTTTTTCATCACTATTGTCCCCTCCCCCAGTCTCCTTCCTTTGGAGGTACTCTAGGTGTCTCTTGAACTTATTTGTAGCTGTTTCTACAGCTACTATTCCTTGTAACTTATTCCATATGTGTGTCTGTCTTTGTATCAAATAGTACTCCTTTCGTTATCTTTCCCTCCCTTCCTTCCTTCCTTCCTTCCTTCCTTCCTTCCTTCCTTCCTTCCTTCCTTCCTTCCTTCCTTCCTTCCTCTCTTCCTCCCTCCCTCCCTCCCTTCCTCCCTCCCTCCCTCCCTTCCTTCCTCCCTTCCTTCCTTCCTTCCTTCCTTCCTTCCTTCCTTCCTTCCTTCCTTCCTTCCTTCCTTCCTTCCTTCCTTCTCTTTGTCTCTGTCTCTATCTCTGTCTCAGTCTCTTTCTCTCTTTAAGTTAATCTTTTGCTCGAAAAAATAGTATATGCTTTTTATTAGAATGAGTTAACTTCATTGTGTTCTTCGCAGCATTCCTAATGTGTTTTGGATTTCCCCCCCCTATTTATTAATGTAGGATAATTACTCTGACATCCTCTCTGGGAGGTAAGGCATCACTGTTTTTCTGAGGAAAGTATAATGAGTATCGTTCATATTAACCATGGCATATTTGTGGTATTCACTCTTGTTACAACCTTGTTTATCTCTATATGCAGCTGTGTTAGGGATTCATAATTTCAGTAACCAAAGAAATCTTCGAATTGCATTTCTGATAAGCATACTGAGTGATGATATCTTGTTTGCTATAAATAACTGTGCTTCATTTCCATATTAATTAAATCATATTTGTATGTGTTAAGCTATCTGCTAGCATCTGGCTAAGTTGTCTAAATGGGTCATAGTCTTCTGTTTTTTATTGCCTTATTCCTCATTTTTGGTTATTTTGGCCCTTAA